CCGGGTCGAATTCTGGCCAAAAACACGGAACAAGTAACATAAATGGACCTAACCTAACCCCCGCGCGCCCAAGGGGCTCTTTTAGTGGCCATTTTCCTTGTTTCCTGCCAGGAGTCGACCCGGGCTGCAGCGCGTCGAGGAGGTGGACTTGACCCGATCTGAACGTGTGCAATCCGGGAGACCAAGACTCGTAAAACAGGACCGAAGTCCGAACACCTACTTGACAAGTGGAACTGGCAGCCGAGTGGCGAGCGCGCTGGGGCGTGGTGTATAAGTCACCGTCGGCTCTGGGTTCGAGTCCTGGTCGAGGCGAACATTTTGACTTTTTTGGCAAGGGGGGGGGGGGGGCTGCTGAGCAGGCGGTCAAGTCCACCTCCCCATGTCTTTTATCCTAACCCTTGGTCCCCGCGCCGCAAACTACTAATGGGAAAAAATTAGCCTCGATCACTATTCGAATCCACGACCATCCGCGTCCCGGGCGCGCGCTCTACCAACTGAGCCAATGAGGCTTCTGCAGGGTTGAAGCTTATCTCCGCTGTCCGTCACACCCCGAAACATATGGCTGACAGAGGGGCAAAAGGGTTCCGTCGACTAGATTCGATGTTTGCGTACCGGTCCATCACATCAGGTGTCGCACGGCTGTGAAGTCATGGCCAGCGGAGCGCGAAAAAAATCACCGGGATTACATTTGAACCTGAGACCAGGTCCACACCGGGCCCGGACGCTACCGACATGGCCACGACGGAACCATACGTGGCACAAGTTTCGGCGGCATCCAGATCTCAGCTGTGACTGACGCCCGAAGACACACTTGGCCAGCAGAGCAGGAAAAATGATCGCGGACGGGTTTCGAACTACCGTAAACTGGGGTAACTTTGGCCCACCGGGGTAACTTTGTCCATGGCCTAAAGTTGTGTTAAAAATGCTAGTACGGTGCTGCAGGTTTCACCGTAGCTTGCTGTGAATTCACATGTATTCCAGATTTTAAAATATTTGTTTTATCATCCCCCCCCCCCTCTCTTCTCCAAATCTTGTTAGGCCAAAAATAAAGAGGCCAAAGTTGAGGTCATGATGAGAGGAATTAACGAACAACAATCAACTGGTCTAAAATTGATTTATTTTACAGTCAAACAGATGGGGTAAAGGAAGAGAAGAAACTGCGAAGACGCGCGAGAAGGTTCCATTCGAACCGAAAACCAGGCGGTTCGAGTGGATCCCTCGTCTTTCTGGCAGTCATCGGAGAGCAGAGTCAGCGCTTCGACGAGTGAGCTGCGCACCTCCGCAGTGGGGCCTGCATTATCTACCACTGCTTGTAGACAGCGGGGGCGGCGGCGTAACCGTAACCGTAGCCGTAGGTGTTGATGGCGGGGGCGGCGGCGTAGCCGTAGGCGGGGGCAGCGGCGTAGCCGTAGGCGGGGGCGGCGGCGTAGCCGTAGGCGGGGGCGGCGGCGTAGGTGGCTACAGCGGGGGCGGCAGCGGCGTAGGTGGCCACGGCGGGGGCGGCAGCGGCGTAGGTGGTCACAGCCGGGGTGGCGATGACGGGGGCGGTCTTAGCCACAACCTGGGGGGTGCGCACCTCGACCTCGCTGACGTAGGGGGTCTGGACGGGGACATCGACGGCCACCTTCTGGACGTGGAGCTCGGGCTGGACGTGCGTCACCTGAGGGGTGATGGTCTGCACGGCACGGCTGGGAGCCAGGACGCGCTGCTGGAGCACAGAGTGCAGGGGGGTGGCGAGGGCGCCCAGGTCGGGCTTGATGACGGAGGAGCTGTAGCCGGTGACCACGGGCTGGGGAGCGTAGTGCACCTGCTTGCTGAGGGCGGCGGTCTGGGCGTAGCCGACGGAGGTGCGGGTCTCCACAACGGTGGGGGACTCGACGGCGACGGCGGCGGCCACGGGTGCGGCGGCGTAGGTCTGGACGGCGGGGTAGGCAGAGTAGGCGGCGACCGCGGGGGCCACCAGACCGGAGGGAGCGGCAGAGGCGACGGCGACGGCCGCGAACAACACCACCAGCTTGTACATGTTTGTGGTCTGTGTTGGCCTCTGTGTGGATCAGAAGGAGAAGTGTGCAGAAGTCGAGGCCGCGCTTCGTTTTATATCCCGCGCGCTAGGCCCGCCAAAAAAGGGGCAAAAACAAACACTGCGAGCGTCTCCGCCCCGCCCCGCGCTGTCGTCCTGCCCCTCCCCGCCGCGCCCCGCCACGCCTCGCCACGCCCCGCACTTGGAGGGCCCCACCGGCCCCACCCAAGTCCGGCCGCCACCGGCCGATGGAGCGCCGTAGAGCGGTGGGGGGGATCCCGCGTGGAATTTGCACTCAGGAGTGGAGAGGAGAGCTGATGTTGAGTTTCCGTAGTGGAGGAGACTCACCGAGAAGTTGCATATACCTTGTAACAATTTGGTACTCTGTAGGATTTCGTCGATGATTGGAAATTCGATGCAAGGCAAGCCCTCAATAGCGACGCTACCCAGGCTAAGCGATGAGATAATCAAGCTCCCTGTGGAGGGGAAAGGAAACATTCCCCTTTTGAGAGCATTTTTGTCTTTTTCTGTCTTTATTCTTGATTGTGGAACATCCATTTTCTGAGTGCAATGATAGCGCCTGCAACGCGCTGGGTAGGCAAACCCGTCAAGCAGCTGTGTCGAGCGGTCGGTGGCCCGCCTTGTGTGCGCTCTCCCGCCCCCGCGCATAAGCGAAGCGAATGCCGGGTTCCCAATGTCTCCTCGGGGATCACCCAGAAAGATCGTGCGTTTCTCCTCAGATGCGTTCGGCGAATTACGGGAGGTCGGCGCCTGCGAACATTGGGGTAGGCCAACCCGCAATACACACATGCACTGCAGCCCAGATTTTGCCTACCCATCAGGCGCTATGAGAACTTGCACAGGTTAAACTTGGCGGGTTCTCGACGGCGAATGACAGAAGTATTTTCTGTATGATTCGTATGATTCTTCATACTGTGAAAAATATCGCCGTAAATTTACAAAAAAATTGTAAACTCGAATTATAATTAAGTTGTAAATTTACGACAGCACATTTTTTACTCGCCAAGGGATTTGTGAAGTCGATACATACTGCATGTATTTTTACGATAATACAAATTGTAATTTTACAACTTGCGTCAGGGAAAATTTTCCTGTAAACCTACCTACTTTTTTCACAGTGTCATAACGTTCTTTTGTGTTTCCTTGGAGGACATTTTTCATTATGAGGGCGCCTTACCAGAAAACCCAGATATTCATGATAATATTTTCCAATCATTTCCGGAGAGGAACGAGCTGCCTATCAGTATCAGTGTGCTAATAACACAGTTTGATTGGCAGTGTTGTAGAGAATACCCACGGGATGGGTGCCCTATTTCTTGGCTCGTCCTAACGATAACATTCGCGTATATTTTATGGCCGCGGTAGCAGCGTGGAAGACCGTAGGTTTGCGACTGACTGCCCATCTCGATCCAGCGATAGAAATAAAAGAAACTGGGTCGCAGGGAAGAGGCTAGCGCTGCGCCGTTCTGTTTTCGCGGTTTGTACTGAAATTTTCAAGGTTTCATATTTTTTTGCCATGTTGGTTTGGGATCAGCTTCTTTTCCAAACCGAGCTGAGAACTCATTTGATTTCAGTTTTGCTGTTCATAATTATCGTCGTCTTCGCCGGCAGTCGTTTCGAGACACCATCATGGAGAGACCGAGAGACATTCTAGCGAGAGGGACCATTCTTCTCATCAGGCCGTCGTGTGTGTTGTTTCAGTAAACTATTTTCTAGTCCAGATTTAGGCAGTCGATCGCCGAGGCACATTACCATTTCCCTAATCAAGGAGTCGTGACTGTGTGTGCAAGCGCGAGTCTGCGTGTGTGCGCGTGTGTGTGGGGGGGGGGTGGAGTGGGAGGGGGGCGCCTCTCTGCCACACGCGGCGCTGCCCAACGGCCTTGCCACACCCAAAGGAACCGGTACTGACCAACACAATAAGAAAATTAAGGCGGGCGTAATGACGGGCGGGCTGCATGCGGCGGTCCAGGCGGAGCAGGAGCAGGCGGAGGGGGCGGGCCGGCACCACCGCCGGGTATCACCTCTCGGCGCCAACCGCGCTGAAAACCGAAAAAAAATATATTCTCTTTTGTTATTTGACGTCAGAAAGAAAGGTGGAACGACCCGGCGGAGCGACAAAATGTCCGATCAAGGAACTCATTATTTGTCAGTAAATTCATTTGAATAGTAATAAAAATGTTGGTCTGTAGCCGACCAGGACGAAATCACTCGGACGACCCCACCCGCTCATCTTGTTATAGAGTTGTAATGTTATCCGGGTGTGTCTCCGGGCGACACAGTGACCGCCACCAGTTCGTCGGCTCCCGCACGAGGATACGACATGAGCCGCATATCCGCGTCGATTCGAAATAAATGGGAAAGGACAGCTTTGTGCAGCTTAGTCGTGTCCTCAATGGCCCCTAGTGAATCAATGTAGACAATCAGCCTGCACCCGTGCATCATGTACAGTACATCCAAAAAGAAAAGAGGTGGCGCCGGCCACCCGCCCAGGAGTTGAGCTCGCGCCTGTAGTGGACTGATGACGTACCAGTTGGCTGGTGTCCATACGCCGCGCACCTTTTTTGCCTTTTTAGTTTCGAGGGACGGGCGTGCGCGGGCCGGCGGGCCGCGTTAGCGTGGGGTCAGTGATGACAGTCGACTTCGTCAGCACTCTTGCATGTGATGCCGTGGTGCGGTAGCCATGGCCACCATAGTTCTGCTACATAGGCCTACGGGTTTGCTACAGGGGCAAAAAAAATAAAGTCTCGGTTTTTCCAAAACAGTGTTGCCAGAAAAGTAGGCAAAACCTGCCCGCAACACACAGCTGTGCGGAGCGGTCGGTATCTACGCCTGCCTACTAGGCAAAACCTCAGCACGAATGTGTAGATGTCTCTAGTAGGCAGGCGTAGATACCGACCGCTTCACAAAGCTGTGTGTTGGGCGGGTTTTGCCTACTTTTCTGGCAACACTGTTCCAAAACTAGAGGAGTTTGGCGCCTGCGGGACTCTGGGTAGGCCAGCCCGCACGACTCGCATGCATAGCAAGCAAGATGTTGCATACTTAGTAGGCGCTTGCAGCGGCCAAACTTCACAGGTTCATGGCGGAGAATGACCAGGCGCGGTTTTATGGGGGGGGGGGGGCTAAGGCGCGATCGCCCCCTCGTCGGCCCAAATCGCCCCCTGGGGTGGGTCGGCAATTTGTCCGACAAAGCCCCCTGAAAGTAGGCAACCCACAGCAAATCGCCCCCTCCGTCAAACGGACTTAAAAACCGCGCCTGAGAATGACGGACGTACTTCCTCGATAACCCCTTACCGTGCAAATCACTGTACTAGCAAGATTTTTGGGGCCTCAAAACCGACGCAAACTCCACAAGACGACGTCACGCCGGCCCCTCCGTGTAGCCAGCTCTCTTTCCGTAGGGTCGCGCCTTGTTCAAACGATGCGCCTCCTTTTCTTTTCCCTATGCGGAGTTTTTTTATCTAAAGGATGGAGCGGAATCGGTATCGCGAATAAACCGGTTCCCTTGCTCTCCCGGGACCGTCCTCTCCTCTGGTGCCGGCCCGGCGCAGCGTTCCCTTGCGTGCGTTCCCCCCGCCGCTTCCTCGGCCGGCAGCGCGTCCCCGCCGTGCAGTCACTTGCACCGCCCCTGGCGCATCGACCTCCGCTAAAAAAGTACGCCGTACTCCTGCGGACTTTTGTCGCGTGCGCGAGGCTCCCGCTGCGTATCGACCCCTCCGCGATGACCACACTGACAGACACGAGAGCACCGTTTCCATTACGACGATAAGGGCCCCGATGGCAAACTTTCCCATGAGTTTTCCGATGCGAGTGACGGCTTCTCTTTCGATGCGCCCCCCCCCCCCACATATGTCATGTTTCTGACGTCACATCAGCGGCGCCGAGCCTCCCAGCGGGATACAAACTCGCGCGCTTAGTTGGTGTGGTGCTCCTGGCCCGTTTGTCTTCCCCCCCCCCTCCCTCCGCAGTTTCGATCCCGCGTCACTCTCTTCTCCCGTCGACATCGGTTAAGTTTATTGCTGACAGAACGAAAATTTAGACAAGACACGAGTCGTCGTCGGGATGTCGCTCGGCCTCCACCTTGGCCGTGGCGTGGGGGCGGGGCCAGGTG